TGTCACAAACCATTAGAAGAACAGAGACATGGAGCTCCTGCTCCGCCACCTGGAGGAGACAGGTGTGTGTGCGTGTCAGAAGCTTTGTGATGCATGTGTTTAAATAAAGGTTGAATGAATGAGTTATTGTGGGCTCGGTGGCAGGTTGGGGGGGGGGGGGGGGGGGGGGCGCGGTTTTGGACAGTTTTATCTGTGCATGTAAACGTTTGAGTGAGGGAGGGGGGCAACATTTACTGCCAAGTGTCAACGAAACGGACTCTTGTGTGACCAGAGCATCGGTCACTTTAATCCTTGGGGGGTCCTGGAAGCACCTCAGCTAAACATGGGGGGGGGGTGTGTAAATCAGAGACAAGTTCAACATCTTCTTTATATGAACTGGATGGTAACTGGGGGCAGGATTTTTCCAGCTGCCCCCCCCCCGAACTGCCACCGTCAGTTCGCACCCCTAAGACAAACACATACACACGCGCGCGCACGCGGCAGCAACTTTTCGGGAACTCACTTGGGATTGGAGCTGTTCCAGTAAACCGCGTGCCTGTCGAAGATGATCTTGTCCTCCGCCCACACGCACACGCACGACAGGATGGTGAGCAGCATGACCTCCATCACGCACGTCCGTCCCCGCATGGTACACGTCCACAGGCAGGGCGGCGCGGGGGGGTCCGGTTCCAAGTGACGGAGACTTGTCTTCATCAATGTCGCGTCCCGAGGGGAAATCAGCGCACGGATCGTGCACTGAGCTCCTCTGACCCCCCCGCGCGCGCTCCGCGGGTGTTTCGAGTCATCCTTGATGATCCGTGCACCTCTTTGAACTTTGTCACAATCAAAGCAGAAGGAGCCACAGTCACGTGCTACTCACACGCACGGATCCTCCCACAGGTCCGAAACTTTTCTCCCATCACACGCACGCGGAGTGGTGAGGACCGTGTCTCTCCTCCGGAATTGGAGATTATAATCCACAATTCATCCCGGGTTGGAGGGATCAGCAGGAGTGATCAGCAGGAGGGATCAGCAGGAGGGATCAGCAGGAGGGATCAGCAGAATCAACGCACGCGGCTCCTTATTCAATCTCCTTTGATCCTCAGAGAAACCTCCCGCGCGGAAGCTCGTGCGTCTTCACCTCATTTCTAACAGCATGTCTCTCAGCTCTGCACGAGCTCCAACCTCCGCCCGCCTCACGCGCTCAGTGCGCCTTCACGTGCGCGTCATGGTGACTGCTGCAGGTGCACGCGCGGGGGAGCCGCGAATGGCATTAATTCCAAGCGTGGTACCCCCCCCCCCCCC